TAATCATGTAAGGTAGATGGATCATGGCTTCATGGTTGGATATGATAGATCAGAGGTAGTGTACGGTAGTAGGATATGTTACTCAATCATGTTAGGTACTCCCACCGTCCTAAAAGAACTTAATATAGTAGGAGATGTGACTCCTCGTAGGACAACGAATCTGGACAAAGGGTAGTCCAGATTCATTGTCCTACGAGGGATATTACATCTTCTCCTAGGTTAAGTTTTTTTGGACGGAGAAAGTATGTCCTTCATTCCATAAAAAACCAACCTAATATTGGATATGGCACATGCTAATAGTACGAATCTAGACGTATTTTTATCTAGATTTGTTATACTTCCTCCGTTTCACAATGTAAGTCATTCTAGCATTTCCCACATTTATGTTGATTTTAATGAATCTAAGATAGATATATATGTCTAGATTCATTAACATCAACATGAATATGAGAAATGCTAAAATGACTTACATTGTGAAACGGAGGGAGTACTAGAATATGTAATATCCCGCTCTAGATTCGTTTTATGTGAGACGGAGTGAGCATGAGTATATATGCAACTCGATCTATTCGCGCACATGGCGGAATTATAAAAGCAGCGTCGCTCTTTCTCCTGGAGCAGAGCAGCGATCGATGATTGCCATTCAGTCGGTCGTCGTCGTTTTGATGGACTCGAGGGACCTCGGTTGGGTAAACAGTGTATATTTACATGGACTTGTAGTTGGAGATCAGCTGATCTGCTGATGGAACTATGGAAGAGAAGTCAAAAGTGTCAGCCTTAGCTTTGTTTTGCGCAGAGAGAGAGAGAGATAACAGCTTTTGATCGTGCGTGCTCTCTGTTTTTTTTTTCAAAATACAGTACTCTGTACTTACTCCGTACCATAAAAAACTAATCTAATCTAGTATTGAATATAACATATTTTAGCACTGTTCAGTGTCCAGATTCATAGTAGTAGGATGTGTCACATCTAGTTCTAGATTTAATATTTTTGACTGAGAAAGTACCGACGTAGATTCTAATCTACAAACGTGTAAATTTCTATAAATATATACCTTATCTCCATAAACATCTTGAAAAATTAGTATGTCAATATATATAGTATCACTATCTATATGAGTACCTCCTAATAAAAATTAGCTTTTATATATGTCTTGAGATTAGTGAACTCACACATAAGTGTTTTGTTGTCAGTATGTTGCACATCAATGAAAGGGTAATTAGCCCTAAATGCAACGCACACATGTATACCCTATTTTTATTCTTATGTGTACCTTCAAAGACTAGACTAATATATATCTTATGATTGACGAAGTTACCATGAACGTCTCATCGTTAACTTATATGTTGCCTACCACTAAACAAATAATTAGCTTTAATTCAAGTTAGAAGAGTATGTTCCATTAACCACAAAGAATCTAACCAGCTGAATTCCACTACTACGAAAACTATCTTTCGTGGCGGTCATTTTCGGTTTTTGCTGGCGGAATTTAGAGCCGCCACAAACCAAAGGCCAGTGAAAATCAAGATATTCGCTGACGATTATCGATCGCCAGCGAAGACATATCTTCGCTAGCGACTGTCTTAATGCAGCCGCCAGCAAAAATGTATTTTCGCTGGCGGCTGGCTTAAGACAGCAGCCAGCGAAAAAAATCTCTGCTGGCTGCAGCCTTATGAGGACCGCCAGCAATAATCAAATTTTGCAGGCGGTTATGCTATGCCAGCCGCCAGCGATAATCAATTTTAAGAAAAAAAATTAAAATTAACCACATGCCAGATACCCTCTAACCGCCAGCAAAAACATTCAGAAACCCGCTGTATTTTCAATTTTCAAACCCACATCAACAGTAGATTCAAATCCAGTCCACGTTCACATCAACATCCAAATATCAACATGCAAACATCAATTTCTCACAGCATCCAAATATGTACATCGATTTGTCACATAGCATTTTCAACATGCAAACATCATTGCCGACGACCTTGGAGGTTGCTACCGCCACCGTCTCCAACCATCGCCGGATTGGGGAGAGGGAGGAGAGTGAGAAGAAGGGAGGGAGGGTGTCGCCGGTCTCCAACCATCGCACCACCGGATCCACCACCCGTCAACATCGTCGTCACCGCCACAACCGCCGTGCGCCTCGAGGCTAGAGGGAGCCGCGGCCCGATCCGCCACCCGCGACCTTGCGGCAGCCGGATCCGCTGCCCACGGCCCTGTGGCGGCCAGATCCGCCGAGCTCCGCCCGCCTGAGCCCCTCCCGGCCGAGCGCCGCCGCGACCGAGGCCCTCCCGGCCGAGCGCCGCCGCGCCCGAGCCTCTACCGCCCGAGCGCCACCGCGCCCGCGCCCCTCCCGGCCGAGCGCCGCCCTGCCCAAGCTCCACCCGCCCGAGCTTCGCCGCGCCTGAGCCCCTCCCGGCCGAGCACCGCCACGCCCGAGCTCCGCCCGCCCGAGCCCTTCCCGACCGAGCACCGCCGCGGCTCCTCCCACCCGAGCGCCGCCATCGCCTGTGGGGAGGGAGGAGGAGGCGAAGGAGGAGAAGGAGGAGAGAAAGAGGGAGAGAGGGAGGCGCGCGGAGAAAATGAGGCAGCGCCGGCTGGGTAGGTAGGATTTTAATGAGACTCGATTTTAATACCGTGCAGAACACTGTTCCTACCGCCAGCGAAAATAGGTTTATTTTTGCTGGCGGCCAACGTCATCACTCCGCCAGTGAAAATTGATGTTTTCGCTGGCGTCAAGTTAAGAGGGCTACCAGCGAAAATACCATATCTTCGCTGGCGGCTAGCTTAAGACGACCGCCAGCGAAGATAGGTTTTCGCTGGCGGTCCATGACCCCCCACCCTCCCTTTTTTTTTATGGCGGTTTTATCTCGTAGCCGCTAGCAAAAATTTTTCCCAAACGCCATGAAAAATTGTTTTTCTAGTAGCATTCGTTGCTCACTATTTTTAATGCGGTTTTATGCAAGGTTATATATATCGGAACTAAAAAATATTTTCGGGGTACCAAATAAGCCGAAATTCAGATACTTGCGGAACTTTTGGGGAAAAAATCCTGAACTTTGAACAAATTTTGGTTGAATTTGAAAAAAAAAATGCTTACATAAAAAATGAATTTTCGTCCAAAAAAATTTCCTATCGGGGGACTGAATTTTGGAAATGGCAAACCTTGGTTTTTATGCATGCGTGCCATCCTGAAACGGGAGTTTGCGCATAGATCAGCGTTGGTCGTTTGCCATACGGTGCGTCATGACTCATGAGGAGGCGGGGGACACAGTGGTCGTCGACGTACGGTGCGGAAACTGCTTTTAGAAGCAGCGGTGGATTGCATTTTCTTGTGGTTTCGATCCAGTTACATTTTTGCTTGTCCTTGTAAACTCTGATGGGAAAAGCATTGCAGTCCTCTACTTCTATGTTCCTCTGCATGTAAATATTTGATTGGTACTCCGTACCCCCTCCGTCTCATATTATATTACGAGTCGCTTTGATTTTTTTATAGTCAAACTTATTTAGATTTTGATCGACTTTATAAAAAAATTATTAAATATCTACAACACTAAAATTAGTTTAATTAAATATAACACATAATAAATTTTGATAATAATGTTGGTTTTGTGTTGGAAATGTTGATTAAACTTTAAAAAAAATTAACTAGGAATAAAGTCACCTAGAGAAAGTATGGAAGAAAGTTACCTACTAGGCTTGGCTCTGTTCGTTTGGGCAGGTTCCCAACTCCTCTTCCTCGTCTTCCGCGTGCACGTTTTTCAAACTGCTAAATGGTGTATTTTTTTGCAAAAAGTTTCTATACGAAAGTTGCTTAAAGAATCAAATTAATCTATTTTGAAATTTTTTTTAGCAAATACTTAATTAATCACACGCTAATGGACCGCTCCATTTTCTGTGTAGGGGAGTTGGGTTCCCAACCGTCTGAAACAAACGGAGACACATGAGCTCATAGACCACCTTGAACACCAGCGGATGGTGGTGATTGTGGCGGCGGCAGAGGTAGTGGGGATGGGTGAGGAGTAGGGGAGCGGGCGCAAGAGGAGGAATGGCCTGGAGGAGGGCGACGAGAAGATAGGTGGAAGGAAGAGGAGAGAGAGGAAGGAGAGAAAAAGATGTTGACATGTGAGGATCCAGGTCCTTTAACCAGTAGTGTATCTAGGATGAAAATAGAGAGGGTGCCTTGTTCGAATGGGAATTTCGGATGAGCAATCATCTAGCTTACCAGAATTCAGACAAGCCTCGTAATTAACGTATAATTAGTTAAGTGTTCACTCTTATAAACTTTAAATTTTGATTTAATTGAAATTTGAAGAAACTTCTCTATAATAAGTTTTTTGAAAAATCACAATGTTTAATGGTTTGACAAAGAAAGTACCTCAAGAACTCTAAATCTGAAAGAACATGGCCTAGAGTTAGTAAACTATACACGCCAATCTTTTTATCGATCAAAATTCTAACTTGTACCAGAAAGAACACAAAATAAAGAATAAAAATATTACAAGTATATGGTACCTGGTAAATATATATTTGAAAAATGGTGCAATGTTTTTTTCCATTTTTTGTATTTGGTTGCACTTACAATAAAAGAATCAGTTGGATATATATGGCTGAAAGCACTAGGAGGTACTGATTCCATAGCCAGCTACTTCGTTTCTTGTCATGATGGCTCGCTGCTGGATGCAAATATCTGTTAGCACATATGGCCTATGGGGCTATGGCCGGCCGGAGCTGGGGCTGGAGCCCCAACCAGCCCCGACGATGGATCCGCCGCTGCCTTTAACGTAGTGCTCGCTACGTCGGAGGGACGTCTAGCGCAGCTACGTCATCCGTTCCGCATCGAACGAACGCGTGGAGTGTGGCGGCCAAACTGGCTTGCGTTCGGGCCAAATCAGCGAAATAGCAAAAATCGGCATCGGTCATTCGCTCCCATTTCCTCAAGGCCATTAGCCGGCGGCCGCTCGTCGTCGTCGATCTCCTCCGGCTCAAGCACTGGTGCAGTGGATCCCGGAGGAAACACCTCCCCTCATTGTCGGCCTCCTCCCCATCAATCACCTCCTTGTGCCTCTTGAGCAGGGTTAGAAATTCCGGAACGAAATTTCGGGTGTTTCGGTGGGGCCCGATAATAAGTGACCTCCACCCATCCGCCTCCCCTCATTGCACCGCACCCACGCACCGTATCCAGATCGAAAAAAAAATCGCCATCTCGCCGCCTTGCCGGTTCGACGCCAGTCGCCGCCTCGACGCAGCCCACCGCCGGAGCTGCACGCCCCCCTCCTAGCTGTCGCCCCCAGCTGTCACCCGCTCCACAGCACCGCGTGGGTGGCGGTGTGCCTCTCCAGGTGACGGCGGCTGCGCTCTAGATTCTAGGACTGATTTTCCGAGGTTCGTTATTATCTATCTTCTTCACATCTGTTTGTCTCACTATCTTGTTCTGGTTGCTTCTAGTTCTCTCCATGTACACCTCAGATTCTAGAAGTTGATGGAAGAATGGTTGGGCTTATTAGTTCTAGGACAAGATTGGTAGACTTCCATGTGCATTTTTCGAAAATTTCGCCCACAATTTGAATTCAAATTTTCTAAAAAAAAATTCGTCCGAAATTTCCGTAGTATTCCTGGAATTTCGGAAATTTTGGAATTTCGGTGACCCCAATACAAATAGTAAACCGATAGGTCAAACCCTGCTCTTGAGAGCCCTGCTTCATCCGGGATCTGGCTCATCCAGGTCTGCCTCGACAACGACGGCTTCCACGGCTGAGCACTTCACCACCACCCACATCAGAGCAGTGAGACTAGTGACAGGGGTCGCGCCGCCACGAGACGAAGGGCGTCCGTTGCTGCCATGACCGCAGCACTGCCGCCACCGACGATGACCACCGCCACCACAGGCTTTTGGAGGAAGGCAACAGTTGCTTGAGAAGCCTAGTTGCGATTGTAAATTGATGTGAACGCGGCAATTTGATGTCTTTATTATTGATTCCAGACTGATTAATTTGTCCAATTGAGAATGTTCGATTATGCAATTTGAGATCAGTACATACAAACTTGGCATAATATATGCACAGAGACTTGCATACTACTTGCTTTTGCTTGCAAAATGGCAAAAGATAGATGTTTATTCTCTGCCCGCACCTGAGCCAGACAGGACGAGACGACGAGCGGCCGCCGGCCGATGGCCACGAGGAATTAGGAGAGATCCAGATTTTGCTGGCAAATTAAGGAAATTAGATCTTTCTTCTAACGGGCCGAGCGCAAGCCAGTATTGCCGGCTTACTCCACGCGTTCGTCCGATGCAGAATGGACGACGCAGCTGCGCTGGACGTCCCTCTGACGTAGTGAGCGCTATGTCAGACGATCTGGATTCGACATGTGAATCGCTATGGTTTTTGTTAGTTTTGGTTGACTAGACTACCACGTGCGTGTCACATTGGATCGAAACCGCTTCGGATTGACTAGGGGATCATTCGTCCGGTTTAAAAGTTCAGTGTGTAAAATATCTAGTTGTTTTTAGTTAAGAGAGTAAATCAAATGATCGTAATAATCTAAGAGGATAATTCACACATTTTTCTTTAAAAAAGGTTCATATTAATCCCTCACGCATATAAAACGAAGCGACTTATTAGCACATAATTAATTAAGTATTAGTTATTTTTTCAAAAAGAAATAGACTAATATGATTTTTTAAGCAACTGACATATAGATTTTTTTTCTAAAAAAACATTGTTCGGTAGTTTGTGAAGCGTACGTGCGAAAAAGAGATAAAAGAGTTACTCCTAAGAGCCATTCAGTACATCGAAGTTATAGCATTCAGTCCTATTTACTCCGTGTGTTAACATTCCAACAAAAAAAATCAATCCTATATTCAGATTCGTATATAAAAATTGTTGCTTTATTTTAGAACGGATGGAGTAATTTTTTTGAGTGGATGAGAAGAAATATTCGTTCATTTAGCAAATTCAATGGCGATAAATAATTTTAAAGAGCTAGAGATAAGAGAAGATGTGGTTGGATGTCTGAATGACTGGCCCGTGAGCATCAATCACTGGATCCTGTTAGCAATTCTCGAGACGTACAGCTTTGCTGCTGCCGTGCTAAGATCACCCGCAATGGTAATGGTAAAGTAATGTACTCTCTATAAAATATGTACATCTCAGCAATACACTAGATTAATGGTAAACCACCTCAATAGTATATCTACATGGGTATCTATAGCTCTCTAATCCATTGCCTCGTTTTTCTCTATAGACTATCTTCAGGTTAATAGATAGCTTTGCTCTCTCTCTTCATTTAATCTCTTCCAAGAGAAAAAATATGCTGACATGGATCTCTTGTAGAGAGCCTATAGATAACCATTGCGAGTGCCCTAAGAGCAAGTTTAATAGTATAGTCAACTACTAGCTCCTAATCATTTATAATTAATTTAATAGCTAATTCATACAATAGTTACTACACTATTAATACTTGATCCCACCTGTTATACATACATTGCATCTTGGAGTGTGTTGCGGCTAGCTACAAATTTATAGCCCGTTGCTTTTCTCTCTTTTCTTTATCTCCTTAAAATATGTTTGTAGTCTGCTATCGTACCTACTCTTAAGACAACAGAAATGAAACAAAGTCCCCAAGTGAGTACATAAAACACATCAATCTCTCTGAGCCTCTGGCTCCCTTCCAGTTATCTTCTCATGCGTGGTTACCACTTTCAGACCATTTTCCTGGTCGATGTCATGAAGCTTTTCAGCTTCCTTGTGGCTTTTCCTGTAAATGCAGTACAGGACCAACTGAAGGATACCCATTGGACAGCCAATGAAGTTTGGTGACTGCACGAAACAAGCAGAAGAAAGAAATGAAAACAGAGTGATTTTACAGCTCGATCGATCCATCTCTGAATAAAAACATATGTACCCGGTATGTACTAACCGCGATGAAGAGATCCTTCCCTAGAAGCCCATATATCATCCATAGAGCACTGGAGAGGAAGGAAAACAATGACAGGTAGAAGGGCATGAACTCCACACTTTTTGTTGTTATGACTTGTTTCTGCAAATGTTAGCTCCATTAGAAAATTTAAGATTACCGCGTAAGAAAAATGAAAACAATTCTTCTTGTACACAGTTCCAACTTCCGAATTTGATTTAGGAAGCTTTCTAATAAAGATTGGAAACTTATTGAAGAGAGAATTGAGAAAAGGCTTAGTAGTTGAAAAGGCAAGCATTTATCTGTTAGTGGTAGACTGGTGTTGATTAATTATGTTCTTTCAAGTTTAGCCATGTTTATGATATCTTTTTTTGAGATGCCGAATTGTTTCATCACTCCTATGGATATGATCTGTACTTATTCCTTGTCAATACAAGTTTTTTTCTTGAAGTTAATGCTATTTGGAACTTAATTTTGTCTGTGCAGATTATGACTCTGAAGTAGGGCAGTATATGTGAAAGATACTCACTGCAGCTACCATTGGAGAGCTGTACATCGATATGGAAGCCACCAGGCCAATACTACCCACAAAAACTTTGCGTAAACCGTGCGTATGAAACAGAAAGCTTGAAAAAATTGCTGTCAGCGCAAAGAATGCAAGAACGGGTAGCACCATTCGCAACACAAACTTCTGAAATAAGATCATTAGATAAGCCTGTCAAAACATTGTTTCAAGAGTTCATGTATCATGAATATCTGAAGAATTCCTCTGCAAAGAACTTGCCTTTCTTTCTCTGGGTGCAAACCATGTGTATATGCTGATGAATGCGATCTCAAGCAGTATGCCAAGCCCATTGATGGAAGACACTGTAGAATTCTCCCATCCTGAGCTTACTACAGGAAGCCCATACCATGTGTACAGGAGGCAGTTGAACAGAGCTAAGATGTATGGAACACAAGAGAATTCTTCTACACTGCCCTTCTTGATCACCCTCCTAAATGTTAATCTGTGATTTTCAGAGCACATTGATAAGCAAAGATAGCAAATGAAATAAATTCTGATCATGTATGGTATCTGTGGATGTGATGTACATACATAGGTGCTGCATACAGGAGCATGGAAGCAGCATTTCCTGAAAGTGGGAGACACTAAATTATGCTCTGAAAATAATGAAAATCTGAATTTATTCCAAGAACATTCAGAAGAGAAGTACCTAGAATTCCTACTGCTACACGGATTGTGTTGGAAACCATTCTAGCTGTTCACTGAACGTTTCAACTCGAATGGACTAGTATTTGACAAAATAGTTACTTCTTTGCTCCAAGTGTGGGTCTGTCTATTTATAATGCCTAAAGCATACTTAAAAGTCTGAAATGCAGAATGGGTGGATGAAGCACAGAAGGCCAAAAGCTATGCATATGCTCCATGAAATTCAGTAGGATGGCACAAACAGATTATGCTCCGTTTGGCATCCGGTTGCTTTCAAAAGCATACATTCGCTTCTTTTTTTATTGAAACATTAATCAGAACAAGTAAAGATTGTGGGAACTAAACTCTAAAATTTAGCAAAGAATATCACAACCACCAATAGTGTCATTTCATGAGCCCAACCGTTTGTTGATTAAGACACAACTCATGAAACAAATACTAGGGCAAGACTAAAAGTTTTTTTCTGAAAGGCTATGCCAAAAAGCAGAGACCATTTACTAATGGAATTCATTCGTTCGTTCTATGCTGATTCCACATTGAAAGCCATGTCAACTGAAACCCAGTAACGAGCATGGAATATAGAATTCAGACAAATTAGTGATGCTGAATTAAGCCAACACATTGACGATAGGTCTATTCTGATTCCACATCGAAAGCCATGTCAACTGAAACCCAGTAAGTAGCAAGGAATATGAAATTCATACAAATTAGTGATGCTGAATTAAGCCAACACATTGATGATAGGTCTAATCTGATTCCACATTGAAAGCCACTTCATAAAGGTAAGTCAGCAAATAATACCAGAAATCCCAGGTGGTGCCACGAATGAATTGTTTGTGGTGACAGAATTTGGAATGGTTAGTCACTGGGAGATAAAGCAATCCAGCACTTCGACGCACATTCTGCATTATGAAGATTGTTTAGTCGATCACAAGTAGTGGTGGTGTCAAATCCTATGAACTAAAAGAAAGACCCTGATTCAATTTAGATATATTGTGTGATTAGTCGAAATCGAAGTTGGCAAAGCTAAGCTTGCTGTTATCAACTCATCATGCATTCAAACCGTGGGCAGAAAATGGTTGTAAATCCTGTTACTCAGGTGGTATGTGTACTGCTGGATCCATGCCAATCTCTGACGAATACTGCAAACGTATGCAGTGTCTTCGTCAGATCTCTTGCTGGGTCAGCATGCAATACAAAAAATGCCTACGCATCAAGCAATTAACAAATAGCCAACTTGGAATTGCTGTTCTAGTTCTTTTTGACGTTGTTCATTGCATCACATTTAATCACTTGATCTAAATGTTGTCCGAATTCCAATTACATCTCTGAATGTTTCGACTAAATTCAGAGACGGATTTGTCATCACGTTCGAATCCTCTTCGGTTTCTTGAGCCGACCATGATATGGTCACTTCGATCACTTCAAATATATGCATCCTAATATTAATCCACGCATCAATCCGACGCCCAAAGTTATAGCAACTTCCCGGCGAGAGCGAGCGAGTTCACCGGAGATCAGTACGCGCGCACGACATCACAATGTCGTCGTGCTGGGCGTCGGTGGCGGCGGCGCTGCGGCGCGCGCCGAGGAGGAGGACGCGGGAGCCGTCGCTGCAGGAGCAGCTGCTGGCGGCGTCGGAGCGCGCCAGCGTGGAGCGGCTGCGGGAGCGCGCGGGGGCGCTGCAGCGGGAGCTGGACGCCGTGGCGGGGGAGACGGAGGAGGCCGAGGCGGCGGCGCGGCGCGCCGAGGCGCGCGCGGCGGGCGCGGGCGCCGCGCTGCGCGCCGCGGCGGGGGAGAGGGAGGCGCACGAGGCGAAGGTGCGGGCGGTGGACGAGGAGATCGCGGCCATGGACCAGCACATCAGGGTGCTCCAGGCCATCGTCGCCACCATCACGCCCAAGTGATCTCGATCCTAGAATCCGATTCGAATTTGATGACGATGAAGACTGATTCTTTTCTTGTTTGGTTTTTGTAAAATTCGTGCAAAGTTTGCAAAGGTTTGCTGTGATAAAGATTTTGGGGACTACCTATACATTAATTCATTGACAAATTTTCTCTCAAAAATATGTAAAATTTGACATATGTAAATATAATTGTAAACTTGCATGTAACTATAGTATAGTATAATTTGTATGTAACTTTCAAAAACATCATGGTAACATGTTATTTTCGTGAAGTGGGGGTCGTGGCCTTATGGGATCAATTCCCCTCACTTATACACATGTTGTGATTTTTTAATTCCTCGTTTGCACGAATCGTGAAGCAAATTTAACAGTTCAAAATTAGATGAAAGTAAAATACATGTTAATATATAATTCACTCTGATTATTTAAAAAACATTAGGAGAAAATTTGTCGAAAGATATATAGCAAAAACGTAAATTTTGTAGATTTTTGGGTTCTCTGAATTTTTGTGTGCCAAAATTTCCAAGGAACTAGTGCTGGCCTGCTGGGGTAAGGTTTGTGGGCTTGAAAGGCCTATTGATCTTTATTCTGCATCCAAGCCCGGCCCAAATTGTAACTAAAATATATTTTCATAAGGAATAAGTTCATCTGAGGTCCCTTAACTTTACACCGAATCCGATTTTCGCCCTTAAACCCAAAACCAGATATAACCGGTCCCTAAACCGTCAAAACCGGTACAAACGAGGTCCCTCGGCGGTTTGTTAGGCGGTTTTGGCTGACGTGGCGCTTATGTGGCTAGCTTGACTAGGTCTTCGTTCCATGTGGTATTGACGTGACGCTTACGTGGCAATTCTACCTCGAAAAAATAATAAAAACCGTTGGCCCACATGTCAGGTTCATAAAAAATAATTTAAAAATGACGGGCCCACATGGGCCCCACATGTCAGCCTCACTCCTACCCTCTCACTCCTCTCTTCTTCCCTCTTCCCTCTCCCCTCTCTCTCCTTCCCGGGAGCGGATGGGCAGGTGGGCGGCGGAGCAGGCGAGCTCGGCGGCGGGAGGAAGACCGACGCCAAAGCCACGAAAATTCGGCAGCTCATGGCGGTCTCCACCGTGGGAGGCCGCGGCCGGCGGCGGGAGGAAGACCATGACCATGGCCGCGGATGCACAAATCCGGCAGCTCAGCCGCGGGAGGCCGTGGCCATGCACACCGTCGTCGTCGCCGGCCGTCACGCCGCTCATCGGCGGGCAGAAGTCCACGCGGTAGTTGGTGCTGGTGGGGCAGGTGAAGGTGCTGGTCTGGTCGTCCTTGGCGTAGCTGTAGGCATCGGGGCATAGCCCCCTGAAGAACATGGAGTAGCTCGTCGGCGGGCATGTTAGCACTAATCTTGTTGCATAGGATCCTTAAGTGCTTGTTTAGTTTTTGGATCACATCATGTGTTAGACCTGGTTGCATGCTGGTGCTACCAAATGTGATATGTTCATGTTAGTGGCTTGCAAGGATCGGCAAATTAGCTAGTACTCCCTCCGTTTCACAATGTAAGTCATTCTATTATTTCTCATATTCATATTGATATTAATGAATTTAGACATATATATCTATTAGATTTATTAACATTAATGTGAATATAAGAAATGCTAGAATAACTTACATTGTGAAACGGATGAATAGTTAGCTATGGCTTTGTGCTATGCTAGTACTTGCATGTCCTGCATGAGCTAGTGGAGCAAGTCTACCGGTTAGTTAGCTTTGTGCATGTAGCAAGTCTTCTTTTGTTCATCCAGCTAGCTACCTTGTCTGCCAACGCCAACAGGGCAGACGTGCTCGAAGCCTCGAACTGGCCCCGGCAGCAGTAGGTGTCGCCGCGCCGAACTTGCCGCACGCACTGGCGCAGCCGCCTGGGACGCGGAGCTCGGGGAGGCACGTTCCTCGCCGTGATGTCCACGGCGCAGCTCGGCCCGCGCCCCTTGCTGCACCCGGCGCCGCCGCCGTTGGTCGTCTGGAAGCTTACCGGCACGTTAACCCGTCGACGAGCGACAGGTCGAGGAAGTCGTCGCCGGCGCCGGGTCAGGAGCCGAGCGTGTAGCCGTGTACTCGGGCAGCGTGGTGGGCGGCTCGCCGGAGGCGGAGCAGGACAGCACGCTGGCGCAGTCGCCCGTGACGCAGCGGCCGCGGCCGCTGCCGTCGAAGGAGCCGCCCGTGCGCTCCGCGCCTCCGCCCCCCACCTGCCCGTCCGCTCCCTGGGAAGGAGAGAGAGAGGGGGAAGATGGAAGAAGAGAGAAGGGAGTAGTGAGGCTGACATATTGGGCGCACGTGGGCCCTATCTTTTTAAAATTATTTTTTTAACTTATATGTGGGCCCATGGTTTTTATTATTTTTCCGGGGTAGAATTGTCACTAAGCGCCACGTCAGTGCCACGTGGGACGAAGATCTAGTCAAACCAGCCACGTAAGCGCCACGTCAGTCAAAACCGCCTTCTAAACCGCTGAGGGACCTAATTTGTACCAGTTTTGACAGTTTATTGACGTATTGTATCTGGTTTTGGGGTTCAAGGACGAAAATCGGATTCGGTGTAAAGTTAAGGGACCTCGGATGAACTTATTCCTTTACAAAAAGTCCAGCCCAATCTTGAGACAAGCCATGCGTTTCTTCTCCCCCGAGATTAGAGTGGCGATTTGCTTCGAGCAGCAGCTGAACCATCCGTGGACCTACAGCCATCGGAAGATCGCACGGCGAGGCGAGGCGACACGACCGATCATGGCGGGAGCAGACACCGCAGGCGGCCGGCAGTGAGGCGGCCGATCGTGGTAGAGGGGAAGATGAGCGGCGGCGCGGTGGCAGGGCGAGGTTTGCTGGTGAGTGCTCACAGTAGTGGCGGCGTCGTGGATCGGTGGACGAGAACGCGTCCAAGCAAACTGATCGAATTCTCTGAATTTTGCTGCCAGCTGTGTTGGGATGCGCGGCAGGTTGAGGGAGGGGGCATTTATGGTAACCGACATACCTGTCCACATTGAATGGCCTCATCTTTTCGCTCTTATCAGCTACTTCCTCCATTTCACAACGTAAGTCATTCTAACATTTTTCATATTTATATTGATATTCTAGATACATATATATATCTAGATTCATTAACATCAATATGAATATGAGAAACGCTAAAATGACTTACATTGTGAAACGGAGGGAGTAAAATATAAATTTTCAATCTTAAATTTGGAGTTGATTTTAAGATATACT